TGTCAGATATCATTATACTTGATCCAACTATACCACGTCACAACTGTGCCGCGACCCCCCTGTGCTGGGTTTTTTTTTTTTCTATTTATTATTAATTTTTTTATTTACAGAGTTCATTCAAAATACCAACAAAAAAAGAAGAAAAACAAATATATAAAAAATAAATGTCCAAACCATACAGCCAACGGGAAGATAATATGATATTGGACTACGCCAAAAAAATGAATGTGATAGATGGCGGAAAAGCTGTGTGGAGGGAGTTTTTGTCAAATGGTTTTCTACCAGAGAGAAGTGTAGAAAGTTTAAGAACAAGATGGCTGTCCTTAAAAAAAAAAAATAAATTGTAAAAATTTAGTCTTTTGATATATATTGAAAATAAATTATGTTTATATAATAAATGTTTGTTTTATAAGAAGGATGAATTTTTTGAAATATTTGATATTTAATTGTTTAATGCATTATAAATAAAATTTCAGAAAATATAGTGTTCAGTTACATTATAAAGTATACTTAGTACCTATTATTATTATTTATTAATAAAATTATATATGTAGAGTGTTTGATTTATCATAACTCATTCGAGTACTACAAAAATATATGCAATGTTAGAAAAATGAAATTTTATTTCTTTTAGCTACAAAAAATCCTGATATAACAGATAATTATTTCTTTTCACAATAATCCTTTATAACCAAAAGTGGTGTCAACTGAGTTATAGATTCGATGCGAAGCTGAGAAGGTATTAGTTTTACTATGATGCTTTTTATATTTTTTTGGGGTCTGTTACCAGTTATAATATAATAATATAATAAAATATAATATAATATATCAATTAAATTTAAATATAATTTTAAATTAAAACGTATGCAGGAAAAAAGTTTTGTATATTTTTCGCCTATTGCTTATCTATGAATTAAGTGAATGTAATTAATAATATTAGATTAATTTTATTGAATTAAAAAAATAATAAAAGGATTCAATTGGTAATACAATTATTGTTGTTTTATGTATTAATTAATAGCTGTGAGCCTACCAAACCCAACACAGATCATTATTGGCCAACTCAAAACTAACACATTGTGTCATTATAGCATTCTTAGTATTCATAAAGTTATTTGAAATGAAACTAATATGGTTATTCTTAGTATAATGAATTGATCATATTGTATTCGAGTATTTATAAAGAATTCCCTTTTTTGTTTTTAATATTTTATAATAGTAATATTATTTACTAATGAATGAAAGTGTTCATAATCCATTTTGGAGAAATTATTGTGTTATTTATTTAATAATTCAGAGTGTTGGTAAAATGAATTAGAAATTTTAAAGGCCAACCCAAAATGTAACAATCCATAGTTAAGGTCAAATTTATGGATGGTCTGATGTTGCTAAAATCATATTAATCCAACCCAATCAATGTTTTTATAAGAATATTTGTTGGACGATTTTAATTTAAATTTTTTGGGTCTTCAAAATTTAAATTGTATAACCTAATGCAACAAAATAATGATTTTATAAATTTTGTGACATTTTGTATTTCATATTTTGATTCCTTAGTGTTTTAGTTAAGGTTTTGTTTTTTATGTTTGTTCGTATTTGTTTTAGGATTTCTTTGCCCGCGGTGGTTCGGTCGAGTACGACGCAGACTCTTTTTGTGTGGTAAGTTGTTTTAAATATCTTTTATAATGACCATTAGATTAATTGGTCGGTGTTTTTCATCGTTCATAGGTGTCCCGTTCACTTGAAACGTTTAAAATTTGTGGCCCTAGATTCCAAATTAAAGTTGATCCAAACCATGTCAACTGGACTCGGGTTGCCAATAAAAAGCTAATTAGCCATTTTAATACTTTGTTTCTCGACGATAATAGCATAACTTATAATGAATTTGTACTCGGTAGTTTTGGCGATTGCCATTTAATAAATGTCCTCATCCGGTCAAACTGTAGTACAGAAATTCCCAAATGCAGGTATTTCTTGATTTTTTGTAGTTCGAGACTTGTTACTACTGTATGCATTTTTTTGGGTTTAGATAGCAGTTTATAACGGAAAAAGTTTACTCTGCAATAAAAACTCTTCATCAATCTTCAAAGACATATTGCACAAATAATTTGCCGGCCCAACCGCACAATGACGGACAAGTAATTGTATATAACGACGATTGGTCGGAATTTTGCGTGTCATTGATGGCCGTTGCGGCTCCAACTTTTGTAGATGTCCAATTATATTTTTATATAGCTAAGCATGGCATTAAGGATGCTTCATTAAGCACGGTAAAATATATGATCAACGAAGCAGTCAATATGGATTGCCCGCAATTGATTTGCATTCAGCTGCATTTGGCTGCTTCGAATCACGCCGTACTACTCAAAAGAGATCGGGCTACAAAAGTTGTGACAGGTGAAATTGCGTATTTTAAACCATTATTGATGAACGACGTATGTAATTTTAATGGTGGAAAAAGTTTAAAAAATTCACATTTAAGTGCCGTCACATGGGTGCAAGCCTATGATATGGCACAACATATGATTAGAGGTGGAGGCCTAGGTGCCCATTATATTGTAGCATTATGTGGTGAGTTATTATTGTTCGTTAAATGTCATAGAAATGCGTAAAATTTTTTTTTCATGTGTTGCTCTCATAGGAGATCTGAAATATTGTAAAGATTATTGTTTAAATAATATGAAAACCGGATTAGAAAACAGGATTCAATCCTACGAGAAATTCCTAATGTACAGGCAACATAATCCACAAACATTAAGGATTGAGGGGGTGTTTAGCTTTCAATCTAAACGTGAAGTTGAGGAACATTCGTGGCCTGTAAATCTAAATAAAACTCACGTTGTTTTAGTGAACGCGTTTTTGAAAGAAGATGCCATTTCGTTAATGCCCCAAGCAGTGTTCCAAAAAGTGATTGATATTTGTTTGGGGTAAGGGTGTTTTATTATTAATATTATCTTATTTAAGCGTTTGCAAATCTACTAAAAAAAAAAAAACTGTTGTTTATAGTATTAATTTATGTTCTATTATAAAAAAACATTTTCAGATATCTAAAGCAATTGAAAAATGTCCCAAGCAATTACCTTCCGTAAATGACCTAGGTAAAATATACGATTACGAATCCATAGTTGAGTATATCATTCATGGAACGACCGAAAGGGTCAATTACGATAGATTGAAACGACTCTTAATTCAGCCATCCATAAGTGGTAGCACCGTGAATGGATTAATATGGTTTAAAGAAAAATTCCCATCTCCAAATAAGGAAAAATATCTGCAGGGTTAACGAGCGAACGAGGTNAATATCTGCAGGGTTAACGAGCGAACGAGGGGCTCGCTGTCCGCGACCGCTTATTCATCAGTCCAAATTAATGGACTGCTTATTTCGCGGTAACCTGCATATCTGCAGGTCGTTCCTCTATCCGCAACCTGAGGACGCGCCCGATTCCCCGAGCTAGGGACACTGCACTCGTGCCGACATTTCGTATCCCCGTAGAGCCCAATCACACCGACACTTGCGCAGCGAAACGGGAACCCAACCCAACCCAACCATAGTGATAGGTTAAACGAATAGACCAAAAAAACATTTTCTATTCAATATTTATTTTTATATTATAACAAAACAATTAATGACTATACAGGGTGATTCATTAAGGATAAGACACTCATTTTCTCGGTAACTATTGAAAATTTTTAATTTTTGGTAAGGAAAATATTTTTTGATTCAAAGAACTCTACAATAATATGTAGTAAAAACATAATTTTTTTGATCCCTTCAAGGTTAAAAAACATTAATTTGCATTTTCTTAAATGGGAACCCCTATTTTGAATTTGTTATTATGATTGAACATAAAACTACAAACAACTTTTTTTTTTCCGATCAACCGTTCGTCTGTTACAGCTTGTTAAAGTTAAATAAATTTGGACTAAATTTCTATTGTTGTTTTAATGTTTTCAATACAGAAGTCACTATTTTTCTATAGTGTAATATACACTAATTGTTATTGACCAAGATATGACAAGTAAGATAGCAATAACAATTTACGACACACTAATTGAGTGATAATAATAATAGATTCAAATCGGGTCTTAATCATAGTATTACTCTATGGTCTTAACTGTATTATTAATAGCAATGCCCATTGATTTGTATAGCAAGTTTTATTACTGATAAGTTAATTTCCTAACCTCTCTTCACCATAGTGTAGAGACTCGATACAATTCTATAATACGATAATGTTATCGTGTGATATGACCCACAAAAATAATTTTGACTAATGTTGATTAATATTATGTTATGTTTTAACATAAACTTTTTAAACCACATCAGGTTTAACGCTAATTCTACGTTGGTACTACTATCCCATATAGTTAAATATTTTTATCCATTAGTTGTTTAACTATCGTGTAGCTACAGTGTTTTAATGTAACATTTTAATAAATGTTTTATTTTTAAGTCGTAACAATTATTAAATAATAATTTAACCTTATTTAGATGATAAAATTTTACTAAAGTTATATAACTCAAGCGGTGAGTGGACGAACGCCATCAAAGCGTCAATGAACTCGATGTCTAACCGAGGAACAGGAGGTAGGAGTGTCGGCAACCCCCATTGTAGGAATCTAGCCTGCAATGAGAATAACATAATTGAAACCCNAACCCCTATTTTGAATTTGTTATTATGATTGAACATAAAACTACAAACAACTTTTTTTTTTCCGATCAACCGTTCGTCTGTTACAGCTTGTTAAAGTTAAATAAATTTGGACTAAATTTCTATTGTTGTTTTAATGTTTTCAATACAGAAGTCACTATTTTTCTATAGTGTAATATACACTAATTGTTATTGACCAAGATATGACAAGTAAGATAGCAATAACAATTTACGACACACTAATTGAGTGATAATAATAATAGATTCAAATCGGGTCTTAATCATAGTATTACTCTATGGTCTTAACTGTATTATTAATAGCAATGCCCATTGATTTGTATAGCAAGTTTTATTACTGATAAGTTAATTTCCTAACCTCTCTTCACCATAGTGTAGAGACTCGATACAATTCTATAATACGATAATGTTATCGTGTGATATGACCCACAAAAATAATTTTGACTAATGTTGATTAATATTATGTTATGTTTTAACATAAACTTTTTAAACCACATCAGGTTTAACGCTAATTCTACGTTGGTACTACTATCCCATATAGTTAAATATTTTTATCCATTAGTTGTTTAACTATCGTGTAGCTACAGTGTTTTAATGTAACATTTTAATAAATGTTTTATTTTTAAGTCGTAACAATTATTAAATAATAATTTAACCTTATTTAGATGATAAAATTTTACTAAAGTTATATAACGGGTAAGTAGAATTAACAACAAAATAAATTTATATTTATTTGATATAATATTTTTTTTTTTAACTGTAGGTCAAATTTTCACATATGAAAGTTGATGCATCTAATTGCCAAATAATATATTTACATTATGTATATTTACATTTTTGGATTCACCGCTATTGAAGACAATATTTAATAGATAAAAATAAATCATCTTCTTTCTTCTTAAGTTTCATTGAATTGATTAAGACTTTTTTTTTTTATAACAAGCAGATCACATTATAGTTAAAAATTTAAAAGTTGTTGTATATTATTAAATGATAAAATTAAATAAAAACATTTCTCATATATTAATGTTTATTCAAAATTGATAGTTATTTTTTCAACATACCATTTATCGTTTTGAAATCTAAAAAGCAAAAGTGCTTTTATCAGTTTTTGTAATAATATTTCTAACTTAGTTTAGAACATTATGTATCTCTTTCTAGACATTAAATTACGGTTAATGTTTAAGACTAGTTTTCCCGAGTTGTTGAAGAATGCATTATTACAAAAAAAAAAAGAATACATTGTTTTATTTAAGATAATCAATAACAATTAAATACAACTAACTAATTTAAATTGTTTCAGGTTTTAATATAATCTGAACAATTAATTAGAGTTACTTTGGAATATTGTTCAGAAACTTTAAATATTAAGGATATTATACAATTTAATAGCTTTCAAATTCCACATTGCAAGCCCAACCTTAATATAAATGAATTGATATAAGATAATATAACACAGTGTTTTGTCAAAAACTTTAAGTAGTGAATTCAAATTCAACATCTCTTTCTATTCAAATAATTTTTAAAAATATCTCTACAATACCAGAAAATGTATGGTTGAAGAAGTTTTGTTTTCACAGAAAAAACTAATATTTGTATTTTAAATTATTATAGGTTTAAAATTGTTAATATAAAATTCAATCTTAAAAAAAATATATTCAGAATTAAAGCATTGTACTTAGTATATTTAAACTCTTTGGCAGTCATCTATTTGATCCTAAAAATTGTATTCACCCGAGTTAATCTAATATCCCTCATTACATGCATATCTTAGGTTCCCATTTTCAATTAACTAGGCTGGTTAATATACATGTATAAATACAATAAAATCAATAAATTATTAGTTGTTAATTATTTTTGATGAAAAAAAAATATTAACATATAAAACATTTAAATATTATATCCAATTATATTTTCTATTTAAGATACCCAAATTGATAGTTTTTAAAATAAGAAAGAAACAAATTGAAAACAAATTTTTTTATAAAATTTGCATTTATGTAAAAATAAAAATAAATTTTTTTTTCAAATTTCTAATATAAAATACCTACTACATGGTGATTACCAAAGTGTTAATTTAATTTATTTGATAATAACTTTCTTATATAGTGATGCTTAGTATATTGGTTAAATTAAAATGCACTAGTTTTCAAAATATTACGCAAATTGAACATAAGATGTTTAATGTAAATTCTGTTAATGCTTTCAGAGTTATACAATTTTTAGTTATTAATGCTGTACAAGATATAAATTATAAAATTTTTGGATAAATAAGCTGATGTGCTAAGCAATTCTAAATAGACAAAGTATTGATCAATAGTTGTTCATAATAGGATTATGTTTACATAGGGTTATTTATTATGGACTTTTTCAGAAAGTTTAGAAATTGTACTACCTTTCATACATAAATAGGTGATAAGTCTTAAGAATAACTTTTAAACAATTAATTAATATTATGATTTTGGTCATTGTTGGATCATATGGTATGAGAGAATAACAAGATATAGTCGCAGGTTATGAAAAGTCTAAAAAAAAAATTAACAGTAAATTTGAAAAATATATTAGTACACTAAAGGCAAACGTTCATAAATCCATAATTTCAATAAATAAGGCAGGATTTTTTGAAATGTTCATTATGAAGACGTTCAAATATTTTTTTATAAAGTAGGATATTATTATCATTATTACTAACTGCTAGATTTGATGAAACTAAAAGTGAAATATTTCATTAGATGTGCAAGAACAAATTAAATGTTTTAACAATCTCTGAAGTAAAAATCCTACGTAAACCAGTCTCTTATCAATACATTCTGCTAAACTCTTACCAAATTATCAAACTGGCCTGATGATATAACTATTTTTGTTACTCTATACTACGAACTAAAATGAAAGCTGTCTTAGTTCGTAGATTTTTTAAGTACTGATAAATTTTATGATTCTAATTATCAAATTATTAATCATAAGTGGCGAGTGGCAACACTGTCATTTCTGTTTAAATGATCATTTTATTTACTAACAATTTCTACCGTTATCGTACATAAATGTACTATTGAGTTATACTTTCGGTCATTTTGTTATGTTTATGATTTATTCTTTATATTAGTTGTTATTAAATTATTTTATATAACTTTTTTAATCGCAAAAAAAAATTATAAAAAGTTTATTAAATCAGCATACATGTATGTCAAGTAAAGTGAAAATGTTAAATTTTTAAATTTAAAGTTACGACTGAGAATTATTTACAACATTTACTTCTGTCAATGCTTAATAATCAACAAGAATTTTAAGTCATGCTGTGCAATTTATTTTTTTAATTTTAATATATGTTCAAAAACTTGACCACCAGTATCTAAACAATGTGTTAGGCGTTTTTCTACTCCACGTAATGTAACATTTTCTAATGTGTCTGGTGTTATACTAGAACATACTGATTTTATTT